TGCTGACAGTTATAGCACTTGCCTTTCGGCTTCCTTGCCTTTTGTCGAGGTTGCGCGTCGCTCATGACCGCTTTGCCCTTTCCTGCGGACTTCTTCCTCTTCTTGCCCTTAGGAGCCTTAGAAGTGGAAGCTTCTCCCCGCTGGGCCACCATGGCTTGGGTCTTCTGACGAAACAGGCCATCTGCTGCCTGAAGCTCAGCAACAAGTTCCGGAAGAGTCATCAACATCTTATTCATGTTGTAATTCAACCGGAATTACTCGAAGCTCTTCGGCAAAGACTGGAGCACTATATCGACCTGGGTTTCCCCATCAATAAAAGCCCCAAGAACCTCTAGATCATTCAGTTGGGCCATCATCGCAAGAACATGTTCCCTTACGGGAGTGCCCTCGCGCATGGTCATGTTCATCAGAACCCTCATGGCCTCTTGTCGGGCAGCCCGCGATTGATGACCAAATAACTCCTTGAGATTGAGTAGCATATCCGTTGCAGTGTTCATAGACTGATGCTGATGTTGAAGTACATTTGACAAAGATGCCAAGATGTAACACTTCGCCATCTCGTCAGCCTTTTTCAACCGAGCATACTCCTCTTTCTCTTGATCTGGTGCATTGTCAGCAGGCACAGCCGGACAAGCCTCAACAGTAGCAAATTTGTACCCTTCAGCAGTTAACACTATATCCAAGTTCCTTTTCCAGTCAATATAATTGGAATCAACAAGTTTGTTTTCTTTGAGAATTACGGACAATGGATTGAAAGACATTTTGAATTCCTGGGATCATGCAAACATAGTCTTTACTCAGTCAAGTAGTTTTGAATTTATACATCAAATATTGATCCCATTAAACAATATTTGAATAAATTCACCAACACCTCAAAACACCGAATCCCCGCAGGCCACGGAGTGTGGACGTCTACGGTTCAAACATTCGCAAGAGGAGGGATAAATCCCATTAGCTTGACATACTGCCCAACAATACTCAACTAATAGTCGGTTTCATCTTTTGGCCAGCGCAATTAACTTTATAAAAAAATAATCTTTATAAAAGAATAAAAACGACCTTGTCCTTTGGGACTATCGTAATTATTTGTACTTTAAGCGTAACCCATTAAGTGGTACTAAGTTTACTACCAAAATTATACGTCCA